AGGATGATTGGAAGGAAGTGATTGTTGTCGAATTTCAAGGGCTTTTTTATGAGATGTAAGTGCTTTTGGATAATTACCCATGTTGCCATGCACATTACCGATGTTGTTGTAGGACGTAGCCAAATCGGGATGATTAGATGGAAGTGATTGTTGCCGAATTTCAAGGGCTTTTTCGTGAAATGAAAGTGCTTTCGAGTACTCTTCCATACTTTTATACACCAAACCGATGTTGTTGTAGGACGTGGCCAAATCAGGATGATTGGGCGGAAGTGATTTTTGTTGAATTTCAAGGGCTTTTTCATAGTAAGAAAGTGCTTTTGGATAGTTACCCATGTTGTCATGCACGTTACCAATGTTGTTGTAGGAAGGAGCCAAATCGGGATGATTAGATGGAAGCGATAGTTGCTGAATTCCAAGGGCTTTTTCATGACATGAAAGTGCTTCGGGGTAATTACCCATGTTGTCATGCACATTACCAATGTAGTTGTAGGCCTTAGCTAACTCAGGATCACTGAGAGAAAGAGTTTTTTGACCGATAGCAAGTGATTTTTCATAGAACGTAAGTGCGTCTTGATATTTACCTTGATCATATTTGATCGAACCAAGTTGATGATAAATAGGTGCCTTGTCTTTATCATCCTTTGTTTGATCAAATAAAACTTGATAAATCTCTTCCGCTTTGTCAAATTGACCCATTTTAAATAGTACCAAACCCAGCCGTACCCATCCTTCAGCGTCTGGAGAATTCTCTTTTCGAATGTAATCAGTAAGTCTGCTTAATTCTGGATCGTTATCGGCGGTAAGTGTCAAGTTAACTTCATATAAATGATTATTTCCACCCATTTGTTTAATATCCTGGATGCGAAACACACTATGCATCGAAAATAAGACTTCCTCTTCCTTCTGGAAGTCACTAATACCAGCAATTGAAGCAAATGGTGTTGTCGATAAAGCAGGATCAATCTTCATGATAAAAAGTACCCCGACTTGATCTGGATTAATTGTAGCATTTTGAGCAAATCCAAGTGAAACTTTGCGAACCGTACTAGTAGATAAGAAATTATTGAAAGAAATCAGACCACCTTTAGTTTTGCTCATTTTTTCGAAATCTCCTGTAGATAAGCTTTGACCACGATAAACAGTGAAGGTATCAGCAACAGTTTTATCAGCATATTGTTCTTGATGAAGTTTTTCAATCTGTCGATGTAAATCACCAATGACGAAGCCCATACGTGTAATGATATCGCCATTCATCATTCGTAATGCACGATTGAGCATGGGATATAGGAACATTTGACAGGTATACCAATAAATTGGTGTTTTCTCGTGATATTCACCTTCTAACCGTTTAATGTTCTCAGTTTCTTTTTCATTGTCGGCAAAAACATCATGACAGTAATCAAAATAATCTTGTATATGATTTTGATCGAATTCGATGGTTAATATGATTTCTTTAATGATTTGAGTGTACATAAAAGAAGGATCTAATTGATCCAACTTTTTATTTGATCCCACGAAACTCATGGGAATAGCATTCTGTTCACATTGATGAGCAGCTTCCTTGAGTGCTTCACAGATCGGTGTAATATCTGTAAAGACCCCCTTTATCTTGGCCCAATCTTTGGCCCATTGTTCATGGTATTCTTTATTGCCACAAAAAATAAATATCGAATCAACTTCAGACATGTTGTGCACATGAGGCACTATCTGTTGTCCAAGTGATCCAGATATAACCATGCATACTTTGCTATCGTTGATTGTTTGGATAAATTCAAGGCATTGATCACCATTTGTATATGTATTAATATCGTTAACAGCACGTCGTAGTTTTGTGATTGTGTTTTGACAATCATTATTTGTCTCGTCAATGTTACTGTCTAACCAGATTAGGAGAACATTCTGCATCTGTTGGATATTCATACGTCGACGACCTTCTGCATCTTTTGAAACTGCCGATGCATTTTTTGTTGATTTTTCTTCGTTCATTGTATATTGCGTGAATGATTTGAATTTGAGTTACTGTATAAAATTTACTAGTGAAGCAATGATGAAAAACAATTCTTTTTATGTGTCTAGTTCCTTGCGAAACGTTGCTTTTTTCTTTAACTGTTTTTTGATGTTGCTATGAAAAACAAACATCGAAATAGTCCGCGAAAAAGAATGATTTTATTTGTTTTCACAGACAAAAACATTTTTAAGTGCTGTTTGTTATTTCACAATCTGCAAGTTGGAAAAAGCTTTTTTTATGATCAAATATTTGATGAATCGCACAAGTTGACAACATATTTGTTGATGGCAGAGATTTGTGTTTTAAAAAAGTGCATTCGTCATGAAATGAACGAAAAAAAAAGACTTGATGATGCATCATTTTCCATCTTTCAATCATTATAAATTTCAAATAAGTATGCATGATAGTCATTATAATAATTCTTGATCTGTATACAATTGTAGGAATATATCACTACTTTTTCAATAAATTAACAACTACAGTGCAATGAAATTTTTTCTTGTGAAACTAGATGATCAAAAATAATCTCAGTTTTGTTTTCTTTGCGACGATGTAATAATCAATGACATAAAATATGAAGCAGAATATAAAAGAACAGTTTACAGTAATTTGAACTGATTTATTGACAACACAAACTACAATAAAGAATTTTTTTCTTAATATTTTTCATGTACACGTGTGATATTCTTTGAAGATAAAATATTACTAGACTGCATGTGTTTACATTGAAATAAACTTAACGATAAAGAGAAAAGGTACACTCGTAATGAGCAAACGAAAGAAAACCTTATCATGTATTTTATTTTACGAATGAATTGTAAATTTCTATTACATCTAATGATGACTCCATGATAAAGATACACCATACATCCATTGTTTCATCCTTTTTGCCCAATGTTTACGTAGATGGGCATATCTTCAAAGATGTTTCAAAGATATAAACACTTTTTTTGTTGTCAAAAAGGAAAAAGTGTATGTATGTTGCTTACAAAACATAAAATCTTGAGAGTGGGTGTGCGTATGGACGTATAAGGTTTGAATAATATACTTATTTCTGATACCCATACCCACTCGTTGTCACTAAATATCGAATAAAACTCTTGACAGATTAATGTGAATTTCATTTTTCCAACAATGAAGACCATTAGATTACTTGTAATAAAAAACCTAGAATGAAAAACATTTAACAAACATGCCATTAAATTTCAAAATATATTTATCAGGAGATGCAGAATTTTAAGTAAAATGTTATGACATGAAGGAATTTCAATGGTTAGTATATCAACGAAAAAAAAGATTCGTTAAAGCTCTTCATATTTATCTTATACAAGAAATGTTTAAAGGCATTAAAATCAAATGACATTGAAGTTGATTCATATGTTCATACTTTAATTGATAAATTTTTTTATTATCACTACATGCATTCTTTGATTCATGATGAAGAAGAATATTATTTTTTTGCGATTGTAATTTATTTATAGACATGAAAAAATAATTGTTTAATATGATATACACAAGAAATTTTTTTTATTGATAACAAGTTTGTAACAGAAATTCATCTTTATGAAAATTAGAGTATAATATAGTATAAGTGCACAGTAGGGAGCCAGGCGAACATGTATGAAAACACTCTTTTCTCGGATCTAATCATTTGCGTAGATACATGTTTATGTGATCTATCATACCCTAAAATAGTAATTCTCAAAGTCTTATAGAGCTCAAGCGAAGAGCCTTCCAAGGCTTGGGTCTAGAAATTGTCATAAATAAATAAAATCAAGTCGTTCGGTAATATAACACAATATTTCACATGCAAACAATATCACGAAAAACTTATTTACCTATCTACTAGTCAAATGTTTTGGAAAAACTTATTTTTCTAAAATCCTTTTAATTTCCTAAAAAGATCTTTCTGAATGATATGCTAGCAGCTCAGGTGAAGTTAAAGGGAACCCTAAGCAAAAAACACCCGGATGTCCGCCTGCTTATACGAAAGCTCTCAACCGTGAAGTGTTCGTAGAAATATATATGATCAAAGAAACGAAAAACTAAATAATGAGTAAACAACAAGATAATTTATAATCATTGGCAAACTTCTTTGTTCAATAAATCGCTCTGAAACTGAATATGTATGTTGTCAAGCAATTGATTTATGACCATTCGTATCCGCATTCTAGAAAATAATCAACAAAAAAAATAAATAAATGGTAATATTCTTTTGATCAGTGAGAATATCTACAGTAGTATGATCCTAATATGAAAGAAATCTCAAAGAAGCCTGCTGTCTTTTATCATTTTTAGCATAGACAAAATGTTTACAACCAAAGTTTATAAACTAATTGAGCTAACTTTTTCTAAAATATATAAAAGTATCTTACTGATTAATTGCTTCCATAATTTCTTTAAAACCTTGTCCTGCTTCTTCTATATCATAAGCAAGATCCATTTCTTCTTCAGTCTCACATTTAATTTCATCAAATACGACCGCATTTTCGATATCATTAACATTAAATGGAAATTTCTCTTCACCTCTCATACACATTGTAAATGAGTCGTAACATTGTTTAAGCATCTCTTCATGTGTTTCGGCTTGAAAAAATCCAGTAAGTTTGAAGAATTTATCGTAATAACTGCCATAATAATAGCCACTCTCATCAATATTACATATGACAGGAATATGATATTTATTACCTGTTGACGAGATTTTTTTCATATCAAGATCATCGGTAGATGACATGAGGATAATTCAAAAAAAGGACAAAAAGATGAACATATTGATTCGCATAATACGGCTGCGATGACGACCAATTAGGATAGTAAAATGTATTGCTAACTAATTTTTTTGTACTATAATAAGTAAAATATTTGAAAGACTGTTGAATTATAAAAAATATATATGGAATAGATGGCGTAATGTATTGATATATCATTATAATAACTGACTATGAGAAAACAATTTAAAACACATAACAACGACTTCGAATAATTTTAGAAAAAACATTTTAGAAATTCTTAAGGCTCCCCCCCCCACCCTAATTTCTATTTTCGCTTCTGAACATCCAATCTTGCTGAAATTTTCAGGGGAGTTGTGTCCCATGACAGGTATCTCACAGTAAAAATTTCAGCTCAAAATATTGAGTCTAGCAAGTTTTACCTGTAGATTACTGATCTGAGGGTGTAAATATCTGCTCTTTCGATTCATACTCATACTCACACACACATTTATTTTTAAAAATAAAGTTAATTTTTTAGAACCGCTTTATTTCAATATGAACAACAAAAACACTCAAAGCGAAGTTTCACAATAAGAAAAGCGGACTTTCAATTTTTTACATTAAAGGTTCAGACTAATAAATTAAATTGAATATAATTGAGAATATCATTGACTCATCATTCTCATAAATCGTTGTCGCCAAGTGATAATCGATTGTTTAAATTGCTTCTTGTAGAAATTCGATGGTAGAACAAATATTACAAAGATAAAAGATGATGGAAAGAATGAAATAAAATAACCACAAAGATATAACCAAGGATTTCGAGATGCTTTAACACATGTTGATAATAACGAAATAAGAAAACGAGGAAATAGTAAAACAGCTAATATAATAGAACTAATAATAAGTTGTTTGTGTTCATTGATTTGATTAACTAGTTGTTGTCTATAATTAAATTTTGTTCGAGTGGTCGTTCGTTGACGCGCAATGTTTATGATAATATAAACAGCTGAGAATAAATTTATTGCACTAGGAACAACAAAATGGAAATATTGTACAATTGTAGTATATTTTTCAACTGATTGAGAATAACGAAGTACGCACCAAACACGTCGTTCTTCATGATCATCAAATAAATCACGATAAATGAGTTCATAACTCATTGAACCCAAAATTATGAATGGTAAAAGGCAACATATCCATCGTGCAATACATGTACTTCTTTTCTTATTAAAACTAATTCCTTGTAAGACTGATATTGCTCTTTCTATGGCCACACAAGTATTAAGCCAATTACTCATGTTTAAGAAAAGACGAAGCAAAGGTTCAAGTACTAAACATCCAACTCGAAGAATATTACGATTGGTCAATGGATTCATATACGTATATGTTACAAACCAGAACTTTATAATTAACATAGTAACAATTAGAATAGAAATAATTGATGATAATCGAAGATAAATTCCAGATCCAACTTTACGAGAATCACGATTATGAAAAACTAAATAACTAAGAAAACCATTGATTAAACCAATGAGAAAAATAATCATGATAAATGTTGCACTTAATTTGACTACCAATGATTGATCATTTAATGAGCTATTAGGTCGAATTTCATATCGCAATAAATCATCTAATGTTAATCCAATACCTTTAGCATAAAATTGACATCGATCACCAAAGAAACAATCATTACATACACATAGAATACTATAAAAACATATAGGTTGATCTTGTAAACATGTTCCGCCATTTTCACAATATACATTATCTTCACACACAAAACTCAATTGATGATCTAATGGAAAACAATTACTATGATGTTCTTCTGTGCATAGACACACGTAAAATTCATCCACAAAACATTGTAGATTAAAATCACGTTGACATGGAATATGATAACTTTTCAATCGTTGAATTCGTGGTAATGATACTAATGTAGTATTTAAAACTTCATCAACGGAAGCACATCGTCGTGGTGGATCAATCGATGTTGTTATATTAGATTGTTCGACTTTTTGAAGCGCAGCCAAATAATAACGAGTACCGATTTTGACAAGAATCATTTCGACCGGACGTTGAAAATATAAAATAACATGATTCTGGAACATTGCCATTCTTTTGAGTATAGTAAATGTTGGTATTGATCGTTCAAAACTAATCTCATTGTAGATGTAGATGAGTAAGTGTGATGGGGTTTCAATATTCTTAAGGGAAACCTCTATTTTATGATTGACATCTTGACATTTTGGTCCAAAAAATTGTTCAGGACAAAAACATACATAACTTTCGTCAATCATTCTCTCATCGATTACGACACATCGGCCATTATTTTCGCAAAATCCTTCTGGACACATTAGTTTAAGACGACAAAATGAACCAAATCTATTTTCAGGACAAACACAAACTGATCGATTTTGAAGCGAACCAATACAGATCGAATTTGGTGCGCACATACTACAATCGATTGGAAAATGACATTGTGCACCAGACCAACCTGAATAACATTGACAAAAGAATCGCTCTTCATTATGATATTTCATGCAAGTGCCTTTATAACAATGAAGATTACAGTGATAAAAATTCAATGGTCGAGATACTGGAATAGTCAAAAAAGCACTCAATCGATTAACTGGTAAAAAAATAAATGGAATCGCTAAATGCCAACTTAATAGATACGTCGATGAGCTCTTGTCAAATGCGTCAACACGAATACTATAATTTTTTGAATTATTCTTTCCTCGTGTTGTATATAACAGATAAATATCTATAGGTCGACCACAATATGTTTTTGATACATAAGTAAATTGATGGTATGAATGAATTTCTTGTCTATCATTGTCATCTTCCATTAAGGTAACAATAATAGCATAGACAATCGGCTGATCGACCGTTGCCAATACGAGAGTTAAACTAACACGTTGATTTTGATACTGGCATTGATCACCATAATAGTTTGGTGGACAAAAACATAGACTACTGTAATTGCCGACTCCAACTCGATGATACATATGTAAACCATAATTACAGACATCTGGCTGTATGATATTTTTAATCGACAATTCTATCGATTCGTCAGTGATCTGATTTTTAATAGAATATGTTGGAATAGTCTGTAAGGTTGGATAGACTAATACAGTCTCTAATAAAAAAGACTTATAATCTGTATTAATGATTTGACACGAAATATTCTGCATATCAATAAAATCATCAAAACTATAGCCATTGCATAATTGCAGACGGTCAAAACAAAATTCATAATTATCATACGGTAGACATTCTTGGTTTTTATCGCAAAGGTTTTCATCTTCTAAATTTATACATTTCGTGTGATTCGAACAATGAAATTTGTTCGTTTGAAAGTATTGAAATTCATCGGATGATGCTCCAAAACAATTGACGGTTTCATAGAGGACTTGGCCGGTTGGTAAACACATCTGTGTATAATTCTGTGGTGAAGTACAGAAAAAGAAATGACTTAATATAATTGACTGAGTACAGTTTTCTTCATCTTTTCCATCTAAACAATTTCGAAAACCATCACATCGTGTATAAATATTATTGCATTGCCAATGTTCACAATCAGTCTCATCTGAATGATTTTGTCCATTAATCAATATCAAGGGAAAATCCGCAATACGATCGCATATTTGATAAAATAAAATTTTCTCATAATTTGTATCTATTGAACGAGAGCAAATACCTGGTGAAATTAAAGGTGAACGACATTGTTTCTCATTTGGACATTGAAATCTTAGCGTTTGGTTTAATAAACAACTCAATTCAAATGCTTGTTCATCATCTTTTAAATAACAATCAGGTATACCATCAACGATTCGATATTTAGAAATATATTTTGACGAATTCTTACAACGATATAATGATGAATAATGAGAACTGATATTTTGATAACGTTGAGTAATACAACCAATAAAGTATGGCTTGACTGAATCGATGATAGATTTCCATGTAGTTAATTCGATATTCGAGTCAAGGCCTGTTTGATTCCCGTTTCGACAAGCGAAATTTTTATGACGAAATGCAGGAGTGAGAAAATCACATAATTGCTCATCGTAACAAACATAATCAGGTTTCAGAGCTAATGCTATATTGATATTGTCAATATCTTTTGGACCATATAAAAATCGTACATGACCAAATAGTACAGGAATAGCAGGAAATTCAAGAGGAAACGTGCAGTTTTTAAATTCTTCAATGATTTTAGAAGATTGTATGAACTGATCACATGTTACATTTTCGATTTCATTCATGATTTTGCTAAGACAAACCATAACTAACCAACATGAATAGGATAAATTTCCTTGAATACTAATTGATTGAGTTAATGCTAAATGTCGATTATTTTCACATTCACCAAAATCTTCTACACATTTTCCATCACCACACGTAAATTGTCCTTCGTCAGGTCGGCATACATATTTTTGACGTTCGGACAGATGCGGTCGATAAACATATCCCAGAAGATGATTGTTCTTAACAATTCCATCCGATCCATCAAAGCATTGTGCTCCCACAAATTTCATTTCCAAAAATATTTTTGGGATACATAAACCATTATGACATCGATATTCATTCTCGTTACATTCATTTATTTCTAAATTAAAACATTCAGTTTCATCAATACCGTCATTTAGACAATCGATTCGACCATTGCATATCTCACGCCAATCAAGACAAATCAATGGACCACCACGATCACATTCTAATAGAATGTAACACGTTTGTCGAAATATATTATCTGTTGAAGTCAGTTCCAGTGAATTTCGAACGAATTCATCTTTGTTTATTTCTAATGAATATTGACATCGAGATCCAAACCACGGAGGTGTACAATTAAAAAAGGTTTCATTCGATAAATTAGATTGAAATGGTCGATCGAGATAATATTGATATTGTTCAGCAACATCAATCGATGACGACCATAGAAGAATATCATATGAAGTCACATTTAGATAATACAATTCATTGAAAGTAAAATTGTCATCAGATATATTAAAACAATGAGTTACTGTTGTCAAATTCATCTCGTTATTTGGGCAAATACAAAATTTAACCATTTCAGAAAATTCTGAGTCAGGTGGAAAATAATGCAAACAGTCAAATCCAAATGGATCTGTATCATAGAAAAATGATTGTAAACCATTAAATATTGAGAAGAGAAAAAATATAATGTAAAAAGATCTCATCATTTTATTCAAATGTAGCTTTGTATGTAAATGACAATATAATGTATAGATAGATAGATTTAACACAACTTTTATGGTAAATATATATCATTATTTGGCTATATTAATAGTGTTCACTGTTATACGTGTCATTTTTTTTTCTCAATCAGACATGATCTGATACTCGTTTCATTTTTTTTCTATATATGGCACATTCATTCAATAGGAAGATGTAGACATTGTCAGGTATTTCTTTTATTTGATAGAAAGTGAATATCATGTATGAAGCATCTTGATTAGCAAAAAAAATTTCAAAAGCAAATATCAAGAATGTCATAATTATAGATACCAACGTTAACATTGTGGAACGTTGCCCGAACAATGGTCATTGGTTACATAGCCATGTCCATTGGGTAATTCGATCTTATACCATTTTTGGTTTTTACCCAAAACTTTCTCGATTTTAAAGCAATCACATGGATAGTGCTTGTGGGTGACAGCCCAGCCAACGTCAGGGCAGCTCATTTTTGCGCACGTAAGAATAGGAACCCTTTGAAGACATAAAATATAGGTAGCCTAATTATATGAAACAAAAAATATTCCAAATGTTAAATTATTCGATAGTAAACAAAACTTTACCTCGCATACTGCCAGAGCGATGCCTAAGATGATGACAAGACGAATAATAGCCAAATGCATTTTTGTTTTCAATTAAATGATTTCAGCAATCAACACCACGCTTTATATACATGGGTGAATCCAAAATTCATATAATTTATTGCACAGCTTGTGATAAGTGCAAATGATGAGTAACTGATTATGATATCGATGTCATTTTATTAGGAAAGAACGAAGTATTTGATTTGCATATTGCGTTTATTGTTTTTTGATTGAGATAAAACTCCACTTTCTGAATCTTTTTTTTTTCTTTTCTATTTTTTCTTTTCTATTTTTTCTTTTCTATTTTTTCTTTTCTGTTTTTTTTTCGAATACAATATTTAACTATTTCAGAAAATGATGACTCAATTGAAAAATAATGTAAACAATCAAATCCAAATGGATCTATATCATAGAAAAGCGACTGTAAACCATTAAATATCCATAGAAAAAAAAACAATATAAAAAAATCACGAAATTTGATTCAAATGTAGCTTTCGACACAAATGACAATATAATGTATAAATAGATTTAACACAACTTTAACGGCAAATATTTTTCATTATTTGGTTATATTAATAGTGTTCACTATTATAAGTGTCATTTTGTGAGACTTTTTTTCCTCAGTGAGACGTGATCTGATACTCCTTTTTCTTTTTCCTTCTAGATATAGGCACATTCATATGATAGAAAAATGTAGACATTGTCAGGTATCTTATTTTATTTGATAGAAAGTGAATATCATGTATGAAGCATCTTGATTAGCAAAAAAAATTTCAAAAGCAAATATCAAGAATGCCATGATTATAGATACCAACATTAACATTGTGGAACGTTGCCCGAACAGTTGGTATCGGTTACATAGCCATGATTTCCATTGGGTAACTCGATCTTATACCATTTTCTCTTTTTACCCGAAACTATCTCGATTTCAAAGCAATCACATGGATAGTGCTTACTAGTGATAGCATCGCTAATCACAGGGCAGCTCATTGATTCACACGTAAGAATAGGTTGTCTTTGAAGACATAGAACATGGCCAGCCTAATTATATGAAACAAAAAATATTGCAAATATTAAATTATCGGATTAAAACAAAAACTTTACCTCGCATACTGCCAGAGCGATGCCTAAGATGATGACAAGACGAATAATAGCCAAATGCATTTTTGTTTTGAATTGAATAGTTTCAGCAATCAAGACAGCCCTTTATATACATGGGTGAATCCAAAATTCATATAATTTATTGCACAGCTTGTGATAAGTGCAAATGATGAGTAACTGATTATGATATCGATGTCATTTTATTAGGAAAGAATGAAGTATTTGATTTGCATATTGCATTTATTGTTTTTCGATGGAGATAAAATTCTACTTTCTGAATCCTTTTTTTTTCTTTCTTTCCCTTTTTTCTTTTCTTTTTTTCTTTTCTTTTTTTGCTTTTTCTAATACAATATTTGACTATATCAGAAAATTCTGACTCAGATGACAAACAATGTTAACAATCAAATCCAAATGGATCTGTATCATAGAAAAATGATTTTAAACCATTAAATATCCATAGGAAAAAAAGATCATATAAAAGAATCTCAACAGTTCATTCACACGTAGGTTTGAACACAAATGGCAATATAATGTATAGATAGATTCAACACAACTTTCATAGTAAATATGTATCATTATTTAGTTATATTAATAGTGTTCACTATTACACGTATCATTTTGTGAGACTTATTTTGCTCAATGAGACGTGATCTGATACTCGTTTGATTTTTCTTGCTAGATATAGGCAGATTCATTCAATAGAAATCTCCACGACATTGTCAGGTATCTTCTTTTATTTGATAGAAAGTGAATATCATGTATGAAGCATCTTGATTAGCAAAAAACGTTCAAAAGCAAATATCAAGAATGCCATAATTATAGATACCAACGTTAACATTGCGGAACCTTGCCCGAACAGTGGTCATCGGTTACATAGCCATGTCCATTGGGTAATTCGATCTTATACCATTTCTGGTTTTTACCCGAAACCTTCTCGATTTTAAAGCAATCACATGGATAGCGCTTGCTGGTGACAGCCCAGCCAACGTCAGGGCAGCTCATTGATGCACACGTAAAAATAGGAACTCTTCGAAGACATAGAATATCACCAGCCTAATTATATAAGACAAAAAATATTCCAAATATTAAAATATTCGATAGAAAACAAAACTTTACCTCGCATACTGCCAGAGCGATACCTAAGATGATTGAAAGACGAATAATAGCCGAAAACATTTTTGTTTTGAATTGAATGATTTCAGCAATCAAGACTACGCTTTATATACTTGGTTGAATACAAAAATCGTATGACTTATCACGGAAGTAACAGTATGTTGGGAAGTACATTATTGCGAACCTTGTGATAAATGCAAATGATAACTAATAATAGGCTTAAGGTCATTTGATTGGACGAGAGGAAGTATTTGATTTGCATATTTCGTTTATTGTTTTTCGATTGAGATAAAATTTCACTTTCTGAATCAGCGATATATTATCATTCAGAATATCAGGATTCTGTTACCTAAAGAACCCGGAAGTGAAATCCTTAATCGTTATTCAAAATCAACATACTATAGATTTAATAGAATTTATCATCTGTAAATGAACGAAATTCTATTGGTTGACTCTATCTATATTTATAGCTAATGACGAAACTATCATTATCATCCTTTTTTTCAACTTGATTTATCTATCTAAAATAGAACTATTTAGGATTTTTAATGTTCGTAGGCAGAATGCTGAATCATTTATCTATTATCAGTTATGAAATTAAGAGCTTCACTGGATTATCTTTGTCTTCAGATTATTTCTTAAATTCAACTACTTCGATCATTCACTGTTCTTTTATCAAGATGCAAAAAATTTGATGATTTTTTTTGTGCATCGTTTCAACGACGTCATTTAATCATATGACCCTATTTGTTAAGAACGATGATATACACTTGTATGAATCATTACATCAAAGATTGTTTTATGGTGGAATAATTATAATTTCCAATTTAAACTTTTAACCTTTAACATTTTGCTCTATTGATTCTTGGATAATAGCGAAGTACACGAATATTAATTATATATTTAACTTTTATTATACATGCATTAATCTTTGAAGATCAAGTAGGCTTAACTTTTTCATATTAGTATTGTTGGCAAATATTGAATCAATAGTTTTTTCCCGGAAAAAACTACTACTTCCTTGTCATACGATGATTTCGAGCAGTAGGCTTAAGCTGATTCAAAAACAAACTACGATGAGAGTGTGTGCGAAGCGAATAAAGACATTTGATCTGCCACACAGAACTAGTGAATATACGTTGTAAACTGTATATGCGAAAGTCTTTACAACTGGCACTTTTATAAATGATATTGAAGTGAACAAAATAATTTTTGCTTTGAATTATTAGATGCAGACAGAATTCTGAAAAATGATTGAATGGATGAAAGGTTAATAAAGCAAATATTTCATCCTCATGATGCTATATTCAATTCTTATTTTTATTTTTCAAGTTCAAAACACACTTATTGAAAGAAACAAAGATTTTAATGCAACTTTGAATTTTATAAGTGTCAATCACATACGGTTAGTATAGAAAAAACAAAATATCTATTTCAGTACACGCTACAAGTAGGAAATAATTTAAATTTGTTAGCTGGACAATATGAGTAATCAGCTAAACCAAATACGATCAACTTCTGTAACTTACAGTACACGATCTTTCACTATAAGGCAAATTATTTTACAAAAATATATTAATAAAACATAAGAATATGATTTACTGTTGCGACAATTCAGAGAAGGCAACTGGACTGCAAGTAAATGGATGAGGTTGAGAATGTGATATTCTCCTTTACTTTCACTCTCAAGACATGTTTTTGTGATACCGTATGCAACACTATTGTTGGAAGCGCATATAGATGATACATTTCGATTCAGTATGTGTCATAGTTTATCTGTAGCTATATTGGAAATTTCCAATTAACAAAAGAAACTACGTTTTGTTTGGTAAAATATGAATAATAATAAGAAGAAACATGATCATAGTTTGAGTAATTGAAGAAAGGTCAATATATAGTAAAAAACAAAGAGAAACCGATTGTTGAATTAATGTTTCTCCCTTTCATTTTACTATCTGTTTCAACAGTAATCGAGTAAATAAAGAGGAAGAACCTTTGAGATAAATATTGTTATTAAACTGCGCATATAAAAACAATATATTTAGGTCAATTACGTAATCGGTCGCAAAAGCACGTTGATATTTACTTCCAATCAACAAGGGTGTAGGTGTTGGGTGTGAATAGAAAGAGTAGACATCCACACCCACGTACGCCCTAGCCAGCATTGAATATTATGATTAAAAAATAGAATTATTCAAAGTCAGATTTTTTTGAAAAGAAATGTAAAATTTTCCATAAGAAAAAGTACAATTAGAATAACGTATATTTTGTGAACCCGTATTCATTTGGAATGATCAAGGCTTAAGTAACCTCTCCTTATTGGAAATAAATATATTCCATTTGATAACTATTTCATTTGAATAGATAATAATCAAAGTGATGTTGATTACCAGCATTTTTAGAGTGCTAGTGTAGATCAGAGGCGGATCTAGGATTTTGGAGGGGGGGGGGGGGTATGGGTGTGAGTATTACATAACCTTACATTGACACCCACACCCACCTTCAGTTTTTGAAAAAGTGTTATTTCTTAGAATAGGGGGTTTCCGAAAAACCAATATTTCGTCATGAAAACTCATTATAAAACCAATGAACTATAGTGCGTCGATAGCTGACACTTTGCTCTATGTAATGCGCTATAAATCAAAAATCGCCATTTTAGGGGGGGGAGCCTTAATAAATGAACATTTCTTCAATATATATCTGTCGAATATCATTCGAACACTATTTATCTATATTTGTATTTATGATACTTTAGAAAGAATGAATTGTTATTGTATTGATAAAATCTTCAAAAAAAACATATATTTTAACTATTAGAAATGGTATATGATGAAAACGTTTAGTAAAAAAATGTGAAAAGACGAATATCAAAATAAAATACTAACAAAGAAAGAAAAGAATTAACATTTAAAAATATAACGTAGAAATATATAATAAATGTTAAATAGATTCACCATTATAACATATCTGAAATATATAGTGATAAAATATTGAAAATGGATAAATGTGTATATAGTGAAACCTCTCTAATGTGGATATCATTGTGTGAGTGTGGATGTGTACTTATGGTTTACTATTTTTTAGTTTCACACACACTAACACCCTTTTTTACTTTCTCTTTCAAATAAATCGTGCGACAAAAATGACGGCTCTAATTTGTTAATGTCACATTATTATACATGATACCAATCGGATTCATCATTTGGATTCCATGTTACCATTATTTTCTAAAATAAATATGAAATTCATATTCATACCCCCAATCATAACAAAAACCAATTGAGACAAATAAATTCATTCTTCAGAAGTACAGTCATATCGAAAAGAATTTGAAAATTAATTTTGAACGTTTTGAAATATTTTAATACTCTTATACAATTTTTTGCAGCAGATCTCTGTGGGTTCTCAGATTCTCTAGAACATAAACTACATGACGAGTACATAAGTTATTTTGTGAAAGCATACAGAAATCCATGTTTTTCGCCGTGAAATTGCAAGGATAATGGTACTTGTTCATAAAGACCATATTAATATCTTTATTAGATTTTGTAAGCTTTAATACATAGCTTCGAAAAAAAATACATGAATGAATTTTTCATGAAAAAATGAACCATATCTTGTTGAGAAATTATTTCACATTCAATCTTAAAATGGCAATTGATCAGATCTAGACTAAACGACTTTCGAATATTTTCATTTATATTTACTAAATATATTTCAGACATTTGAATGATCAAGAAATAAAAATATGTTCGAAAAAGACTCATAATATTATAATTAAATATATCGTTTAGATGTATTTGAATGCACAATATTCCAATAGGACGTACTTTTAGTCTGATGTGTAATTTAAAGTACTTTTTATTTATAAGATTTCTTTTTGCATACGTACTTATCAAATACATAAATCAATAGCAATCTTGTTCATCATATTTTTAATAGTGAAAAAAATAAAGTTAAAATACTTTTGCAATATAATTAGGGGAATTTTCTTGTATTCTAATGTTGGTTTCAAACCAATAGATTACTATATTCATGTATATACTGGGTCTTTTGATTTTATAATCATCTCCTTTCTTTATTTCTTTTTATTCATTCTTTTATAGTCAATAAATAAATAGTAACCGTATCTTTTTCAATTACTAAACAATTTCAATTATTAAAATGTCTCCATTGAAGTAAATAAAAAATATTTTAGATATTATTCAATTGTAAAATATGAATTCGTATTTAAGCATGTTAATTTTTATATAAATGTAACAAATTTTTAAAAGCAGGCAAATAAAAACAAAAGTCATTCAGGTAACCTATCGAAATCACTGTATGCCTCATTTCACTATTCCGATTTACTCTGAATTGAAGTAATTATTAGAATATGAAATTCTTTCATATCAATTTATCATCATTTTAAATGATATTTAAATACTGAAGATAATACGCTATTACATATTTAAGAATTAATAATATTAATATTTTATTCTAACAGATTAAATAAAAAAAAGTTAATAATATTTGTCACATTAACATAAACCATGATCAAAAGGCAAATCTCCAACACCATCTATTATTTCATTTTGATCATCGGTATCATCAGTAACACTTGTGTTAGTTACCATATTTCCCAAATACATTTGAAGATCTGCATCTACTCTAAGAATAAATGGATCGGTAATAGGTAACCGCATATTTCGTACATCTTTTGTTAACATGTATTCACCACCTAAAATTAGCAAACAGATTCTATTAAGATATCTTACAAGGTAGTGAATTACTTATACATACCTGTTTTATAAGCTAATTCACGATAAAAGTCTTGAATATCATAAGAAGAGCTGGCCGTAGCATTAACAATTAAAACAATATCACGTCGTTTGAATTCATTTGCTATCGTTTCTAAATTATCACCAAGAACAATCGAACCATCAATAACTAAAATAGCCACTTTTGTATGACGTATGCCATTATATATCTTTGAACAGCTAAAAAATAAGTATGTTTAAATAAAGATAGTTTTACTTACATTTGGAAATGGTATTCCAGCCTCGACTTCCTCCACGATGTCACCTTAAATAATAAATAAAAACTATAATAATTCAAATAAACAGCAAATAGAAATTTTTCTTGATTAAGATTCATCTATTTGCATTAATCAAATGAATATCTCTTTTTTTGTGACCGAAATTGCGTGAAAATGAATGTTTGCGAAGTCAAGAAAAAAAAACAATAAACGTTTAATACATAGCTCAAAATGTTACTATATTACTGTTAAGTCAGATTTTTATTAATATCGAGCATTTATCTTTTTGATTGTTGTATAAAAAACAACTAGATATTCTACTTAAAAATTTGAAATTTTTTTCTTACAAAATAATTGAGTTATATCTTGATGAATTGGTGCTTGTGTAAGAAGATCAAGTTGTTGTTCAAGAGGAATACAACTGTGAGGATATGTAATTCTACCCATATCCACTTGCTTAGTTTGTTGATTTGCTTGAACGTGCATCACGCAGATTGTATTTCCACATGGATCAAAAAATATCACAGGGCAACGCATCGAATAATTCATTCTAATTATTTGATAGTAGATAATTTGTAATAAATAACAATGTAGCTTCGATGCACTAAAATAAAAATATGAGAATTAATATAAGGTATATAAACAAGATGAATTCATTAAACCTCGCTATTGGTATTTTCTCGCATCTCATTGGACGATATTCTCAATCTCGCATTATTGGTCCAATTTTTTCGGAGAAAAAAAGTTCTTGTTGTATTTCAGATTAATTTTCGTAAAAGAAAACACAATAATTCGATTGATTTTAAATATTTTTATCATATTAAAATTGATTTTAATTAAAATCGCATATAAACACATTTTGATTGGTGCTAGCGTCCAAACAAACAACAATAAATATAGTCAGGTATCCAATAAAAAAATAGTAAATAATTTATGACAAATTTATTTGGAGCCTTTAGTATATCGATGTACATGTAAGATGACTATTACCTATAACAAAAGACAACTGTCGAAATTTTCAAAAGTCATTCAATAAAAAAGATATAATACCATTAACGCATTATTCTAGAAATAAAATGCTTTAGAAATAATATCGCACTTTTTCTTTCTTTCTTTTTCTCTGATGATGTACATATATATAATGACCATTGGTTATATATACATATGCCGTGTTCATATCGACCAATAACAACACTACATAGAAAGAGAGAAAATAATAAAATAAACGTATAATGTTTATCTTATACTTATTTTAGATTGACAACCGAAGTGATTTATTCATCAATACTAACGTCGAACGTTATAATAAAAATATTAACTTATAAGTAAGTAATTTTTAAATTATTATCCATTATTTATCGAACTTATGTTGAGCAGTAAAACGATAAATAAATTTTGTTTATGTGTTGAGTATATATATATTTAAGCATAGATCAATATATTTTTATATGAGTATTATATAGTTGTTTCAATTTGTATTAATAAATAATTTTGGAGTGAAAGACAAAGAGTATTACATTAAATATTTTTATTACGTTTGCCTGTATTGACTTTTTTCATGAGCCTAGAATATTAAAAAATAATTTTACATTAGTAAAACAAATTTATTATCATAGTGTGAATAAAAATTATGTATTTCTTACTGTAAAAATGTGTATTTCAAATTCGAGTTCTACCTCTTTTCAATTATTTTTAGTTAGAATGAAGTTGCTATTGTGATTTCGCCGTCTTCTAATTTTTCTCGCATTAGAAATCTGTTTAATTGCATATGTTATTGATATTTAGTAGATGATAAATAACATAGCATCAAAAGAGTATTTGTATCACATATTGGTTTGCTTTTCTTTATCAATCTATAATAAAAACAATATTTGATAAAAAAATAAGAACTAAAATAACTAATAAACTATTTTACTTCAATTTTATCTATTTAATTCATTGTCAGAAGTTTGCAACGTTTTCAAATAATTAAAATAGATAAAGTATCATAGAATGCTAGTTACTTGATATTATTAACAGAATATTTTGTTGAATGCTAAGCCCAGTATACCATCTGCAAAATGTACGAATGAATTCTTTTGTTTACATTTTATAACTTGTTAGATTGCATAGTTTTTGAAACCAAACGATTTCTATATATATTAATTACATATTATCTTTGCTACAGATCATCAACCAATCGCAACCATTGATAAACATATATGCTATCATACGGCGACTGGTATAAATGCTGGATTTGATTATGCTAATGGACAAGCTGCAACAGGTAAACAAATATTCTTAAAAACTATTTAATAAATATCTGAACAGTTAGTATTCGAGTAAGAGTACTATTATACTGAAATCCACTTCTAAGGTTATGACATAATAGAAACGAAAGAACTACATAAACTCTAAGGTATTCCATGATGTATGAAATTTATTTTGCTACAAGATTTATCAAAGATTTACTGGCTACATCACTATTTTAGTGCACTATCATGGAAAAGTGTTGACGTAAACACAGGAGTTATATAAGATTTGTGTTAAAATGTAGAAAGATTTATTGAAAAATTCCCAAAATATAAGTTTCAATAGGCTGTGAATGTGTGAGTAAGAGTGAGGGTGAATTCTATGGTCTGTTTCTTATATATTAATAACTAAAAGAAAAACAGAATATATAGTTTTTAAAAGGAAATTTCAAGAGTATCAAACATAAAGATATCTAAATTAGTAAAGTAGTGCTATAAAACATCATTAAAACATTGTTCAATCAAATAATTTCATCTGAAAATCTGTTCTTTTTAGAGATATAAAAAAGCACATATAGTACTATAGCATATGAAATTGTAATAATGTTCTTACTTCAGATAGTATTAGTTGAAAATAAACTTCATGAAAAGATGGTATCACATGTATAGATGCGACTATTCTAGAATGAGTAAATCAAAGAAGTACATTAGTATTAGTATAGCTGTATTGAGTAAGAAACTGGGTATATGGATAAATAATCTAATACTTACTATTCAGTTCTTTGTATTGACTGATAATCATGCTACATAACGAATTCGATATCACCAAACTTTTTGATAGCAATAAGAAAAAGACAAATGGAATCGATTGAAAATTTTACGAACAATTCCATATGAGTGTCATGTATCACATAATCGATTCTTGACCAGTTGCCTAATTCGACCTCGAATATAAATGGAAACAAAATTCGAAACTTAGTATTCTCACAATTAAAAACAGATTTCTAAACCCAAATTGATAGTTCAAATTCGAAGGCACTTCTGTTAGTTTAAAAAAGGAAAAGAAAGTTTTTCCAAGTTACAGTTTAAAATTAAAGTTGGAAAATACCCACTCTTTAAAAAAAAAGAAAAAGAAAGGTTTCTTCGGTTACAGTTTAAATTAAAGTGGGAAGATGTCTACTTTTTTAAAAAAAGGAAAAGAAAGGTTTCCTACGTTACAGTTTTAATTAAAGTGGGAAGATGCCTAACTTTATAAAAAAAAAAGAAAAAAATGGTTCCTGAGCTATAGTTTAAAATTAAAATACAAAGGCGCTAATGTTTGTTTAGAGAAAAAACCAAACAGAAAGTTTTCCTAAATTATACTTTATAATTGCAATACGCAGGCGCCTATGTTTATTTTAACAAGAACCGAACAGAAAGTTGTCTTAAATTATAATTTCTAACTCGAAATGGAAGACATCAATGTTAGTTAAAAAGAAAGCAAAAGAAAACGTTTTTCTATAGTTTTTTCAAGAAAATATATAAAAAGTAGAAGTTTTTACTCATGTTGACTATAATAAACATACATTTCAAATAGACAAATTAACTATACTTTTTTGCTGAACTAGGAAAGATATCTGGTATTATTCGCGTGATGAAAAATTAGAAGATAATAGTTTTGTTTCAGATCTGTTATAAGATAAAGTTTAATAGAAAATAATGAACTTTCATGTATCCGTCAAATAAATTTTCTTAGAGTTTATAAAACATAAGTAAAAACTATATTTTGTTGAGTTCTGCTATAAAAAAATTTCATATCGGATTGTTCACTTAAATTACTTTGTATAATTGCTTGAAAATTAAATGGCTATGATATTTTGATTATTAAAATAGCCAGCTTTATTGACAAATAATATTGTCTTCAATGGAATTAATCATATATGATTATAAACAGCATATATTAATAACTAAAAGAAAAAACAGAATATATACTTTTAAAGAGGGAAATTTCAAGAGTATCAAACATAAAGATATCTAGATTAGTATAGTAGTGCAATGAAACATCATCAAAACACTGTTAAATTAAATAATTTCATCTAAAAATCTGATCTTTTTAGAGATATAAAAAAGCACATATAGTACAGTAGCATAAGAAACTTTAATAATATTCTCACTTTAGATAGTATTAGTTGAAAAGAAACTAAATTAGAATTATAAATAGAGTTTTTTAAAAAACGAAATATGAAGTAAAATATTAAAAAAAAATTTTTCATTTTATACGAGCTTTCGATGCTCAACTGGCATCATCATCAGGCATTATGGTCTAAAGATTTATTATTATTTATGAACAAATTACAATTAAAAAATTAAAAAATACATGTGTTAAAAGATATGTCATTTATTGTTCGATTAGCTAATCTTTTAGTATACAACGTTTCTTTTATTTCTCTCTTTCTCTGATTATTGTCATATGCTATTATTGATGTATCTTCGAATCTGAAATTATGGTTATGTGTTTTTGTATGGTTTACCAGATTACTAAAGTTTTGTTTAGGATTATTTATATTATCAATGTGTTGATTAATCCTTTCGTTCATTTTTTTGCCCGTTTGTCCTATGTATATTTTATCACAAACTGCACAATCAATTTTATAAACCACACCATTATTATTATCATTTCTTCCTTTAATATTATTAATGAAATTATCTCCAATTGTTTTATGTTTCTTAAATATTACTCTCACATTTAAATTTTGTTTTCTGAATAAGTAGGTTAATTTCCTACTAAATATGAATGATTCATTTCCTAAGTAACTTAATACTACATTAATTCTATCTTTATCCATGATACTATTATTATTGTTAAAATTATTAATTAAATTATTATTAATTAATGAATTAATATTTGCATTATTTGCATTATTATTAATATTATTTATTGAATAATTATTAGCATTATTATTAATATTTATTGAATTATTATTTGCATTATTATTACTATTATTAATCAACAAAGCATTGTTCAAATTATCATTATTTATCATACCGTTGAAATTATTCATATTTAAATTATTGTTCAAATTATCAATATTCGTATTACTATTATCGTGGTTAAAATTATTACTAATTCTATCATTAAGAATATTGGTATTAATTCTATCATTAAAATTATTGGTATTAATTCTATCATTAAGAATATTGGTATTAATTCTATCATGGTTGAAATCATCACTAGGAATATTTGTATTAATTTTATCATGGTTAAAATCATCACTAAGAATATTCGTATTAATTCTATCATGGTTAAAATCATTGCGATTAAAATCATTATTAAAAATATTTGTATTAATTCTATCATGGTTGAAATCATTGCGATTAAAATCAT